TGAGCAACTTGAGACTAATACAAACACAAATGCATGCACAATCAATGATGAGCAACTTGTAAAGAAAAATAAAAAATTAAAAGAAAAGTTAGCTAGCTCACAAGATGCTTATAAAAGTTTGCTTGCTAAAATGGAAACCATGTGCAAACATTGTGATGAGCTAACTAATAAAGTTGCTAATCTTGAAGCCGTCAGTACCACCCTCACCAAGGCACCTAAAAAGAAAAGTTCTATCTTTACCATGCCTAAAAAGGATGCTTCTACTTCTTGTAATGATTTATGTTTATACTCATCCTTGTGCAACTAAGTTTGTGTTGAGAAAATTATAGAAGCAACATGCACACAAGAGGTCGCAATGGAGAATGAGCAACTCAAGCAAGAAGTGGCTTGCCTCACCAAGGACTTGACTCAAATGAAAGGCAAGACGGAGCAAGCCCAACTTCATCAAGATAACACCGCCAAGGAAGTAAAGAAGCTTGATAAAGGACAAACCGTGGTTTGCTACATATGCCACAAGGAAGACCACAAGTCCTATGAGTGCAAGGTGATGAATGGGGGAGGAGCTAAGAAGAAAGAGAAAAATAAAAAGGAAACAAGCAAGCTCTCCAACACCTACACCAACAAGGTGGACAAGAAGGCCTCAACACCATACTTATTAAAGAAGAAGAAAAATGACAAGGTGGTGGCCATCAAGGTGAACAAGCAAGTCAACAATGGGGTCAAATGCTTTTGGGTGCCAAAGGAGATCATTTCCAACATGAAGAGTACCAAGAAGGTTTGGATTCCTAATGGGAAGTGAGAAGTCCGATGGACTATGGGGAATTTAAAGACTTGGCAAAGTATGGGTGTATTTCATGGGGTGCATCACATTGGATCATGTCAATTTCAAGTGGGTTAGTGAATAGTATGGACCCAAATTCCCCTTCCCATGTTAGGTAACTAGATTTAATTTTTTGTAATTTTAATTAGCATCTAGTTTCTTTTCATGCCTAGGTTTGTGTTTGCATGCTTATATCTTTTGTCATGCATACACTAGGTATATCTTATGGTAGGCTTACTCGGTTTCACTCTTAACCCTTGGAGCAAACATATATGGTTTAAATTGTTTAGGAGCACGGCACATAGCTTGTTTTACAATTGTTTATCTAATATGTGCCAAAGTCCAAATTGTAGATAATTTCTCCCGAATATCACCTTCAAAAATGATTCTCACATTCATGTGATGTCATTTTTCAAGTGATATTTTTTATTCTAAGATCAATGTGCATGTCTCCTACAAGTATTCCATACTTGTGTGCATAAATTTAGGGAGAGGTTACTCTACAAGTTGGATGCTTTGAGACTAACATATTTTCAAGCTTATCATGTGTGTAGTAGTCTCATTGCAAGAAAAATGGAGTCCCTAGAGTTAAGCATCATACTTCAAATATCCCCCACATATTGCAAGTGGTATAAATCAAATTGGTTTCCACATGTGGTATTTCTAAACCGATATCATCATGTTGATTTCACTTTTGTATTTATATACTTTCTTCATGCATTATATAGATTAAACTCCCTTGAGCATTAATTTGCCAATTATGCATAACCTATTTTCTTCATCATATGAATGCATATATTTAGGGGGAGCTTAGTCTATGTAATGTGAGAGTCAAATTTTGTGACCTATTCCACTCCACATATAAAGGATCACAAAGTTTAACCCTCTCTTGTGCTACTAATGTCTTTCTTTTCGGTGTTTGATTCCAAAGGGGAAGAATTTGTAGGACCAAAAGCAAGCCCGATCATAATAATTTACAAGTGGTAATGGTCCGAGAAAGGGAGGATAGTGGATTATGGAGTTAGGGGGAGGCTTAAATCCATAATGCCACATGGGGACATTTGCAAGAGCAAGATAAGTTTCCAAAGATGTTTACATGTGGTATCTTTTAGCATCATATAACCTTGCCCTTTGCATTGCATCCTAGCAAGTAAATAGTTTTTAAATTCCAAATTTTTTATTATTTGCTTGTTTTGGTCGTGTTGTCATCAATCACCAAAAAGGGGGAGATTGTAAGGAAAATGGACCCTAGGCCCATTTACTTTAGATTTTAGTGTTTGATAACCAACACAACCAAATTGGACTAATGAATTTGCAAGTAATTGTTTTATAGTTCAATATGATGCAAAACATGACTTGGACAAAGGTGACGTGATGATCCGATGATCAACACCTAAAGAAAGACATGTGAAGATGCATAGAAGACATACAAGGTCAAGCAAAGTCCAAGCACGAAGATTGAAACCAAGCCGGACGCAAGATCGCGAAGAAATGAGCCCGACAGAGGTGACCGGACGTGGCCCTATGAGTGACCGGACGTGTCTGATCAGGTGCAAGGCAACAACAGGCGTCGGCAGCTATGATCGGACACTGACCGGACGCTGAGCGGAGCAGTGACCGGACAGACCGGTGACACTGTTCATTGTCACGACAGTGTTTTCAGCGTGACCGGACACAATAGACTGGACGACCGGACGCACAAAGTGCAGCGTCCGATCGAGTCCAGAGAGGTTCTAGAGCGGCACTAGCGCGACCGGACACATCCGGTCGATGATGACCGGACTCTGAGCCGAGTCCAATCAACGCGCGTGCTCCAATGGTCGGGACGACCGGACTCATCCGGTCAAGACATGATTAGCGTCCGGTCAGTAGCAGAAAGCTGTGTTTCATCCCCGACGGCTACTTTCTTACTGGGGCTTATAAATAGACCCCTCAATCAGTCATTTGATAGGAGTGGAGCTGAGGAAACATACCAAGGGTGTTGATACACCATTTTAGTGATCTCCACTTGCATAGTGCTTAGTGATTCATTAGGTGATTAGCATATGTGCTTTACGAAGTGCTTAGGTTGATTAGACCACCGCTTATGCGCTTGCTCTAGGTTTAGGCCTAGTATTTAGTGAGGTTTGCATACCTGTTACCACTCGGTGCTTGCGCGCACCATTGTTATACATCGGAGGGGCTTGTAGTCTTGCAAGATCACACTAACTGTGTTTGTGGTGTGGCCGCCACCGTGTACTAGAGGGAACAAGGCCCGCGGCGTTTCGGCCATAAGCTTGATAATGAAGACAGCGGGGAGCGGTCTGGGAGAGGCTTGCTAGAAGGCACACCGGAGACCCACTTGCGCGTAGGGAAGGCCCAGTTATCCAACCGGGAGCTTGGCCCTTGCGAGGGATTCCTTGCGAGGGGCTCCAACGAGGACTAGGGGGAAGCTTGCGCGCTTCTCAATACCTCGGTAAAAATACTAGAGTCGTCAATGGGAGTTTGTATATCTCTACCTTATTCTTTAGCTTCCGCATTTACATTGTTTGCATAACTCCTTTTGCGGTAGAGATAGCAACACGCTAGCAAAACCATAGTTGCACATCTAGATAGTTTATTTATTGCATAGGTTTTGCTAAGAATAGAAAAAGAGGCCATAGTATAGATATAGGCTTTTAAGTTGCCTAATTCAACCCCCCCTCTTAGGCGTCATGGTCCCCTTTCATAGTGGGCATGCTCATCTATACAACGGTGGGAAGCAGCAAGCACCTCGGCGAGCACGGCAGCAGACCATTGCGTCGTGCACCCCGTGCCGTTCGCCACTGCTGCGTAGCCCCACCTTTGTGCCGCACGAGACCTCCGCTGTTGGGCCCTTGGTGCACAAGTTCACGGCTACGCGAGACCTCTGGGGCGGGGCATCGACGCATGAGCCTGCGGCCACGCGATCGAGAAATCCGCCTCGGAGCACCTAGCGCACGAGCCCGCAACCGCGTGATTCCCCCACCACCCCGCGCAGGGCCCTTGCCGCACGGGCCCGTGGCCGCGCCGTGCGGGTTTGCCAGTGCACGAGCCCACCGCCACGCCTCACAGAGCGTCGGTGTTGCCCACTATCGCGCAAGGTCGAAGGGGGCGGCGATAGGCATGCGTGTTGTCATTGCAATGGGAGGTGAGAGAAAGGGGTGAGAGCACTGGACGAAGCCTGGCTAAGCGGAAATGCTGGCCCCTTCGTTTCCAGCTAGCCAGGCTAAGAGCCAGTAGGTAGCCTGGCTAAGTGGCCCGTTCAGCCAACCAAATAGGCCCAAGTTGGCTTAATGGAGCCTGACTAGTGGGATAGCCAGGAAATCAAACACGCTCATAGAAGAGCGACAGCGGGACTTTTGAAACTTGTAAAGGAAAGTGATTTAATTTTATTTTGATCTTTGAGCTGTTTGTTTGTCCCTTGCTGTTGGGGATGATGTGCAACCATGTGGGGCAGAGTGTCTTGTTTCTTCCTTTACCTTAATGCAAGGCAGAAATCCTGCCATATTTTTTCAAGAAAAGAGTGCACTATATATATAATCTCACATGCATGAGACAAAATCTTTGCGCATGATATTCACTTCTAGTCTTATCACGAACAGAATATCTATGTCCACCGAGGGAAAGATATTATGAACCTTTCAGCCACCAACCCACTAATATAAAAACTTTATCAATCGAAGTAATACAAAGGGCCTGTGTGGATCATGTCTTGATTATATAATCTGGATTATTATAATCGGGATTATGAATTATATATAATAATCAGTGTGTGTTTGGCTCAATGGATTATGGTGATTGATTTTTATTTGGTTAAAGTGGGAAATTCCTATTTTATCCTTTTTAGTTTGGTAATAAGTTAGATAATCAATTGTGGGACAAGTTGGACTTTCAGCACCCATAATCCATCGTAACTTGGTTTCACCTAGATTATGGGATTATGGTAATAAGTAGATTTGATTATAATAAAAATCCATCATATAATCAATCCCGTTTGAGCCAAAGTTTGATTATATAATCGGAGGGTAGCAAACAGGGCCATGGATAGTGCCAACACTGTCCAACCTCGTAGTCCTTGCTTATTGAGTTGCCATTAAGCAGACATTCTATATATTTGTTAGGAATTATGGCTCCGGAGTGTAAGGTGGGAGCACCCCTCTCAAAAAGGAATCCAACAATATTAATGCCCTCTCGGGCTGGAAAGAGGGAACCAGATGACCAGCTCCTCTGACATAGGCAAATGTGAATCCTCCCTTGTATTGTTGAACATATCCTCCGACCTACAAGCATTGTCATCACGAGCCATGAGTTCGTCAAGCTTACTAAAAATCTATATAAGGCTTTACTCTTATGGAGATTCGCAGATGAGTTTCATAGGAAATAAGACATCTAGTAAGAGTGGATTTCTTTAGATCAATACAAAATATTTGCTGCCAGAAGACTGTATAAATACTACTTTTGTATAGAACTTATATTACCTCCATGTTTGCTGTCCACGGGCGCCATGGAGTTGTGATGTGCAGGTTAAGATCGTGGATGGAATCGTAGCAGGAAGTGGGCATACGGAATCAAAATCGCCACTGAAAATATTTTTCATAATGGTGTTATTTTCATTTGTATGATACATATTATATGTTCTTTGGATAGTCTGTTGCCACTAATAAATTACCTAAAAATCCAGACAGGTAACTCCTTCTCAACTAGCCATGAGATTGTTGGCACCATGGAAATTGGTGCATCGGTCCAGTTCAAGTTTCTGCACAAACCACACGAGCTTGAGGTGAATAATCTGTAATTAGCTCACTGATATTACATTACCTGGGTGTTGATGGGTCCAATCAAAAGATCTTACGCGCATCCTGACCAATTTGTCATTCTAGCATGGAAAGCATTCTGCACTGCTGGGTCATTGAGGTAGACATAGGTGTATAAATCGCTGCATGGATCATATCCAGGTAACTATAATTTGTGGAGATTAAAACAACGGTTAGTGATTTAATTATATCCAGGTAACTGTAATTTGTGGAGATTAAAACAACGGTAACATTATGAATCGTTGCCTTACGTACGTAGCCACTGGATTAGTATGTTCCGTTGGCTGCACTAATACAGATTGGAGCATATATGTTGTAAGGATCAATTTGTGCACGATGGACCGCACCCATGGCGCCAATGCATGCCACACCATATTGGTCAAAATTTCAGTGCCTGATTATGTTGGCAAATGCTGTTAGTCCCGAGATCTCCGGCACGGGTGAGCCGACCATTCACCGTCGTTGCCGACCATACACACTACGGCTGAAGGTAGAAGAGGGGGGGGGAGAACAGAGCGCACACACACACTCTCCTCTACATAGCTCTGGCCAACATTGGTGCTTGTGTTATGTGTGCGCTCTGTTCTTCCTTCCTCTTCTACCTCCAGCCGTAGTGTGTGGTCGGGAACGACGGTGAGCGATCGGCTCACCTGTGCGGGAGATCCAGGGGCCAACAAATGCCTCGTCTGACATCAACCCATGGCTCCAGAAGTATTGAACTGCACCCTTGAAGTTCCTATTCGAGTCCAGATATGGATTTCCTTGAAGGAAAAGGATATATATATAAATATACCCATTAATTAAAGGATATTTTAAAGTTAATTATAACCTGATTCAGTGAACTAAGAAAAAATCGATCAGGTACCAAGATGCCCCGTAGGTTTATGGCCGTCTTGCTATTGTAGGAGTTCTGGATTAGGATGGTGGCAGCAAGTTCAGGCACATAATGTCCGGCATAGCTCTCACCGGAGATGTAGAATGGACGGCTTTTGTATTCAGGGAAGCGCTGCAGCCAATTAACCAAAAACAAATACGCATCATCAGCCGTCCTTTGGTCTCCACTGAGGTCGTAGTCCGAGGATGTGTTGGAGTAGGAGTATCCAACACCCGCCGGCGATTCCAAGAAGATCACATTAGCCACTGCATAAGTTTTTTTTCATCCCGTTAGAGAGAGTTTCAATTCAAATATATACAAATTGTTGCTGAATTTCGCGAACGAGCGTTAGCTCGAGTGGTTCCGTCCCCGTCGTGGGAAGGCCCGGTCAGGAGTTCGACTCCCGGTTGCCACGAGCATAGCTGCGGTTTGTGTAGAAAAAAACTCCCTCGCTTGTCTTGCTTTTCCCAAAGCACATGTAAAAGGACCAGCCCACTTATAGGGTTACGGGTTTGTGTAGAAAAAAAACTCCCTCGCTTGTCTTGCTTTTTCTAAAGCACATGTAAAAGGACCAACCCACTTATAGGGTTACGGGCCTCTATGTGAGAGCGGGGCATTACGGGGTTCAGGGGTTTTCTTTAAGCTGTCTGCCTGGGCGAGTTTTTGTTCACCGAATTTTCAGCTTAAGCAAAAGAAAGGCAGGTAGAAGTTTTTGTTCCAAGCTTTCTTGTTTCTACTCAGCGTTTTGTTGTCGCTATTTACACGGAACGGGCCGAGTTCTTGCATTGCTCCGTAGCCAAGCGATGAGCATCCTGGCCCTGTAGCGGACGGTTAATTACAAGGTTAATTATTGTTTTTACCCAGTGTTGTCTAGCGGTACGGGCAAACTAAATGTGCTCATCACTGCTATTCATGGAGCATTAGCATGCATGCATGAACTTCAGAGATAAGAATAAGATAGTAGTATATATATATATATTATCTTCCTAACCTCCGTTAAGCCACAGGAGGAGCGATTTTGTCGAGGCATCCTGTGGTGCCTAAGAGTGCCCGGCCATTCTCCCTGTCGACAGTCACGTACCCGCCGTACTGGTCGAAGTCGACGCCTTCTGGTTGCCCCGGCAGCGCAGTGATCTTATCAGCTGCCTTCAGGGCACTGTGTTCACTGTCGGAGTAGCTTGTGCTCAGGAGGCTGCTGGCAACCCTGTGGCTTAGTATGTCATTCACCTTAAAAATGCCCTTATTGTCACTAGGAGCGTTCCTCCTAGACCTGATGAGCTCTCTCAGTCGGTCCTCTTGGGACGCATCTGTGTGCAATGCAGCGGCACTACGACTCTAGAGCCTCTGTAGAGACGGCTGCGCCAGCCGTCCTTCCCAGGGTGTTCCTACAGAGGATGTTTCTGTAGGGGCGGTTTCCTGACCGCCCCTGCAGTGCCCTCTGTAGAGGCGGGTGGTGTTTTCAGCTGCCCCCTACAGTGCCCTCTGTAGGGGTGGCTGGTAATATCAGCCGCCCCTATAGTGGACTTCTGTAAGGGCGGCTGTATCACCAGCCGCCCCTGCTGTGTGTATTTATAAGGGCGGTTCAATCAAGAACCGCCCCTACAGTGGATTTTTCAGCAAAAAAAATTCAAATTCAAATCTGACCACATATATATATTCGTGCGCCTCGGTTAATCAAATTTTAGCCGTGGTTGGCCACCCGCCTCGGTTAATCAAATAAAAAAAGAAAAAAAGAAAAAAAATCCATCCACGGGCCCACCGAGCCCATCCACTGCTACAGGATCCGCACGTGCGCGCCGCCGCTCGTCAGGACAGCCCTCCACCGGATCCACCACCAGGAGAGGGTGTAGATCCACCGCGGGGAGAGGACCCGCCACCGGATCTAGGCCTCAGAACCCGCCGCCGTCGGATCTGGCCCAACGGAGGAGGTGGCGCCGCCTTCAGGGTGGTAGAGGTGGCGGCGGATCTGGGACCGCTGCTGCTGCTGCTCCTCCACCCGCGCGAGGACGCGCCGCCTTGTGCTTCTCGTCACCGGATCCGGGCTCCACCTCACCGGATCGAGCTCCTCCTCGGCGGATCTGGTGGTGGCCGCCGCCTGTGCTTCCTGCGGCCACCAGCAGCGCGCGGGAGGAGAGAGCTGGCATGCCCCTCTGAGCTCTGACGAGAGGCCGCGGCACCGAGCCCCGCCGCCGCAGGAGCCCGCCAACTGGAGGCCACGCCACCGCGCCCCCGACGCCGCACGAGAGGAGAGCGGGTGAGGGAGAGATGGAGCCGCACGCGCCCCCGCTTCAGGGAGCCGCGCCGCCGCTGGCGTGTGAGAGAGAGAGATGAGAGAGGGAGGTGAGCGGCTGAGGGAGGCTATGGAGAGAGCGGAGGTAGCGAAGGGAGGGAGGGAGCGCTCGCTCGGTCGGGAGGGAGACGGAGGAGCGAGGCGGCTAGGGAGGGAGAGGAGTGAAGGGGCCTGCTCGCTCGCTGCTGGAATGAAACCCTAACTTGTGTTTATATACTTGGTCGCACATATCGGGCCTCGTCTGGGCCTCTTGGGCCGCGGCCTTTTTTTCCCCGAGGCGGGCCACTTAGGAAGTCCCGCCATCAGTAGGGGAGGCTGGTGATTCAGCCGCCCCTACAGTCGAACAGTAGGGGCGGCTGGTGACAGCCGCCTCTACAAATGGGCACTGCAGGGGCGGCTGGTGATTGAGCCGCCCCTACAGATCAGCCCTAACTGTAGGGGTGGCTCAAGTTACCAGCCGCCCCTACAGTGCCATCTGTAGGGGCGGCTGGGCTGCTGGGGCCCGATGACGCCCACTGTAGGCCCCCCCCAACCCCAGCCGCCCCTACAGTAAAAATGGCTCCGTTTCTAGTGTGAGAATCTGGCTTAGTGCGGCGCAAATGATGAGCAAAAAGTAGAAGAGGGGAGCAGTAGCATTGATCCGCATCATATCTCTACGATGAAATGTGTGTTTGTGCGTGATTTACATGTCGCTTGGTAGGGATTTATATAAGCCCCTGATATGATGATGAAGGACTGAATTTCTTTTTCAAAGATCAGTTTTGGTATGTTCCGAGTGCAAACGAGTTGTCGTCAAGCGCTTCGTGCAGCTGTTAGCCGTCCGCCTTGTATTTTCTGCAGTTCTATGCTGAACATACTGGAGAGTTGGCAGAGTTCGCAATAGCATCTCTCTACATTTTTTTAAGAATTACACAGTGCTGACGTAGACGTCCACTCACCCTTATGAACATAAGTACATAAACCCTAACCCTATGAGCACCTTCAAAATTCACAAAGTCACCACAAACACCTCGCTGTCAACAGGAACATCGCGTACCACTAAAAGTATAGCACCGTTAAATTCTAAAATAAATCCAAAAAAATACGAGCACCCGTGTCAAATCAAGAATTTAAACCCGAGTAGACATGTTCCACCCGCAATAAACCCAATGATCAATTCGCACTCGCTCCTCAAGGTTACCTACTCGGAGTTGTTGCAATTGGTTCCCATGAATTGAGAAACAGACATGTTGCCGGCTACTGAGAGCGAGCATGCGCGTAGATTAGTAGTAGTAGGAAGCGCGCTGCCGTTAGGATTTGTTGTTATAGTGTAGTCTTTGGTCCATTCCCCCACCTCGATCTCATCCATTCTCCGTTCATAAAAGGATCATTTGGGGGGTAATCGATGGCAATTTGCATCTGTTCTGTGTACCCCTGGTCGTAGGATTAATGGAGAGAGAGTATCGTTTCGAAGACACATATGCGCCACATAAATAAAGAAAGTACTAAAAATGCCACCAGAGGTCGCAATGTTGAATGGTTTGTTATCTTTCCAACCTATCAGCATAGGATGTCACAATCAGAATCAAATTAAGAATACCCTTTCGAAGGGACCGTGACGTCTAAGATAGGAATGAATTAGACAAACTTCTACTCAAGTCATGAAATATAGTGCATTCTAGCTATTTTAAAACAAAATAAAGAAGAGTACAATAGACGCATGTACCCCTCACTTGACTTTCTAATTTATTGAAATCAGATTTTCCATGATTAAAGGTGGACTCTCAGTTCCCTTATACAATAATATGTCAAGTACCATATCAAGTATTTCTATTTAGTAAGCATTATCTTTTTGTTCCCCGAATCCCTTATATTTCAGGACAACTTTTAAATGCCAGAATGTGCTATATATTACAGGACGTAGGGAGTATGGCCTATAATTTTAACCTAGTCAAAACCTATGTAAGAAAGTAATCTAAGGTTTTGCAAGGTGTGTTGCTATCTCTGCCGCAAAAAGGATTATGCAACCTAGATTCCAAACATATCACTAGTCTAGCAAGCTAAACTAAGAATGTAAAGTACACAACCTAAGTACATAAATATAAATACGGAAGCTTAAGGGTAGAGAATGCAAACTCCCGTTGACGACTTCAGTATTTTTACCGAGGTATCAAGATGCTCTCTCTTCCTCATAGTCCTCGTTGGAGCCCCTCACAAGAATGCCCTCGCAAGGGCTAAGCTCTTGGTAGGGTAAATCCTTGGATAGCCCCTGTGCCTTCACCATGCACAAGTGGGTCTCAAGATGGCCTCTCCCTAACCACTCTTCATCGTCTTCACTATCGAGCTTCCAGCCAAACTATCGCAAGCCTCGCTCATTCCCTCTGGTACACGATAGCGGCCACACTACAAACCGGTTGGTGTGGTCTCACAAGACTACAAGCCCCTCCGATATACAACATTGATGCGTGCAAGCATCGAGTGGTAAGAGATATGCATACCTCACTAAACACTAGGTCTAAACCTAGAGCGAGCATATAAGTGGTGGTTAACTAGTCTAAGCACCTTGCAAAGTACTATGCTAATCACCTAATATTTTCTTAAGCACTTATGGTGGCTAGAGAGCGCACTTGGGAGAGTGTCTCAACACTCCAATATTTGCAACACACTCTAACATACATGGTAGAGTTGGCCATGGGGGTATATATAGGACCCTCCAAGCAACTAGTCGTTGGGCAACATCTGCTTGTCGTGTACTCACCGAAATGCTCTAGTGGTATCACTGGATTAATCCGGTCCTACCACGTGGACTAGCCATTTGATTTTTTACCGTTGATCTATCGACCATTGGGCACTGTTCCTAGCGTATACTCCAGTGTCAGTTTCTTCTCTCTGGATCCCTCTCTGGTAGCAACATTATACTCCGGTGCCTCTTCTTCAACACACCAGATTAATCCGATGACAAACTCTAGGTTTGTACAGTGCTAGCGTATCATCCGGTGCCCCTATGGCCGCAGCCACCAGATTAATCAAGTGGGGTCATCCAGACCCTTTGCAGAGTTCCTCTGATGCCTCTTCCTCCGGTGCCCTGAAGGGTCCACACTAGATTAATCCCCAACTCCATTTCTTCACGTCTTTGCGTTCGGCTTGGTTCCATATTGTGTATTGGACTTTTTGCATGTCTTTTACTGTCTTCAACATGTCTTCTAATGTCTTGCTTGTGGTGGTGATCATCCGGATCACCACATTGCCTAAGTCCAAGTCCACTTTGCATCCAATTGAACTAAACCTTGTATACTAGCAAATGTTGTTAGTTCAAATGGTCATGTTGTTCATCAAACACCAAAATCTAACTTAATGGCCCATAGGGTCTATTTTCCTTACACCTTGTTCTAGAGGAGTGTACTATGTACATGTAACAACCTAGTTTTAAGTTACATGCATGTATATCATGAGCACCTCTAAAAGTTCGCCGATACATGAGTAGCAGTGATGAGCATATTTGCTATGCTAGTATTGATTTATTTTTTGAAGGCAGCTAGTATTGATTTGTTATCAATTGTTGTAAGGAAATTAATTAATGTTTCATGTATCATGAGAAACACTAATATTTAAAGACACAGGAGACATATTCATATCAACGTCTTGAACCTATATTTTCAGTCTACGCTTAACCCAACCATGACGTTCTCACTATTTAGGTTTCGCCATTTCAATAGTTCATCATAGTATTTCCCTCGAAAATGAACAATTTTCCACCGGATGAACAGGCACACGTCAATAAATGCCTATAATATGTGCTCTTTCTTAGTTTTCCTGAAGGGAGGTATCTGTAATGAAAACATGAAGCCAAAAAGATTTGTAGGCACCATAAGTGATCAATGTACAGGATAACTTTTGTTGATTTATTTACTTGTTGGTTGATCATGGTATGCTTCACATTTTTCTAAGGAACTTGCGCATGTAGTACCCATAGCAGACGCTGCCAGGAGGATGCTTATTGGCGAATACATGAACCCCTAGTATCCTCAGCGAAGCCATAACTTGCCCATTTGACGAGGGTGGGCTGAGCCAATTGGTCGAAGATGATCTAATCCGGGGGTGCCTCATTGACTTGATGGAGACAAGGCATAGATAGGGTATACATGTAAATCGACCTATGTTATAACATATTGAGAAACCAACCATGTCAAATGATAAGATTGGGACTCTATCTACAAACCCTAGGACTATATGCCATGTTCGCTTGGCTGATAAGCCATAGCTGAAAGTACTGTTGGCTAATTTATTGTGAGAAAAAATATTGTTCGTTGGCTGAAAAAGTACGGCTTATAAGCCCAGCGAACAGGGCGATAGAAGGAGGGGTAGGGAGCTCCCTGATTGTGATATTTGACACCGGAACATATCTCCCCTACTGGAATCCGAGCCTAGCACTCGGTGCTCAGAGCAATACAAATACTACCATATGGACATAGGGTATCCCCACATGAACTAGTATTTCTATTTCTATATATCAAAGCAGGAAGGTTTAGCCACCAACTAGGCCATCCACGTCGCCCGAAATTCCGCCCGCCGTTCGATCTCGCGTTCGAAGGCCCAGATCCGTCGAAGCAGATTCTGTTACTCTGGCCGCCTCTCGCAGCATCCACGTCACCCCAGTTGTTCCAGGCCGTCGGATCCACCATCGTGTGGCCCTGGCTGCTTGTAACCGCTTCCTTTAGAATCTGCTTCTTCTGCCTCCTCGTCGCTCTATATTGATTTTGCTAGCTTATGCGGCTTCTCGTGTGAATCCGGTGGAGCTAATATATACTCCAGCTCCTGATTCTCCTTCAAGAAACTTCTCATCCCTCCTCTCCCTCTCTCCTGTATGCTCCCTCC